TTTTTTGTTTAAATCATGCTCAAGACTGCTTCCCAAATGTATTGTTTCCTAAATTTTTCTGACAGGCCTATATAAGACTTCAAGCAATTCGGTTTTTTCCCATTTCGTTCCATGCAACGCGGAAAATGGCGGATTTCAAAAACTGGCAAAGCAGGTAATTTTTCCTGCAAATTTTGGGCTTTTAATGGCTATTAGATTATACGTATAAGCTTATGATGAGTTTACTAAAATTTCGTCAAACTATCGCGAATAACAGTAAGTGTCATGTATTATAGAAGTGATCACAAATGCACTAAAATCATCCACTGTTAATAAACTCATAACTCCAATCTAACCATTTCCGCTTGTTTTTGACTCGATTTTAAAAACAGAACTTTTTTGCAAATATTATTAACATTTTGACTAATTAGCTGATCTGGTTCAGGATTTTGTGATTTATTAAGTTTCGACATTAATTTCAAAATGTTACCTGTCTCGTTCCTCCAGTAAGTTATAACCATCCCTATTAATCACTTCTCTTTTATATCGTGCCATCCGAAATCCACCAACCCATGGAACTTTTGGTTTCGACTTTCTCCTTACTGATTTCTTGGGAACAACTTTCGATATCTTTTTGGATTCTGTTTTCCAAAGGGGAAGGATTACTTTTCGTCTAAGTTCTGTAAGTAGGTAGTTATATTTTTTGTCGAGTGATAAAACAGTCACTAACCCCTATCTGCTATCCTCCTCTTGCCAAGCAGCTTCGCCCAACGAATCTGCTTTGCTTGTTCAGCATGAGCTTCAATGAGCATACTGACGCATTTTGCGTGCATTCGTACATCATCGGCTTTTTTAGCGCATTTGTAATGCCGTTCTTTTTCCGCCTCAGAGAGCTTAGGTAGCCTGGAATGATTTTTTGAAATAAAAAAAAATTCGAAAGTCTTGGCCAGAATTCTTACCTTTCTGTGGCTATGGCTGCCATTAAGCTGCTAAATGCTTGATCTACCCAATGCTGATAGAGCTCATTACCGCTCTCCTCACTCATAGGTACGGTAAAAACTCCATTCTAAAGAAAGGTTTTCTTAAAGATGAAAACAAGGGTTAACCGTAAATGAAAACATTTTCAAACTATAAATATACAGATAAAGGAATAAAAGGAACTACTTGGCGATAAGCAATCTATACTCAAAGAAATCACATCAAAAGTCTATGATTCGATAAATATTAAACAAACCTACTTACTTTATAATAAGGTGAATTTTTGACGTCGATCTCCACATCGTCACTTTCAATAATGGAACATCGCACAGATACTGTAATCTACGGTATGTCATAACAAAAAACGATAAGTAGAATATTAATTTACCAAAAAGCGCCGTCAGTAATGACAATATCATCACTTCGCCAACTCAATTTTTCAAAAATTGATAAATCGAATGCCAACTGCTTTGATTAGAGTAATCCCTGCGGGTAACTTCAGGGATACGGTAACATGTAAGACCGTGGTAGCCGTTCAGCAGTTAATAATGGCGTGTTAATAGGCAGCAGCCAATCCTTCAGATATCTGTAAAAGTGACATCTATGAAATTTGCGGTAATCATGCATTCAACGAGACTGAACTGCACTAAAAGGCTTACGACGGACTTGCTGGTTGAGATCCGAGAGAGCACTATGTCGACCTTTTATAGGGTGGAATCATCTACGCATTACGGCGGACACAAGTCACTTTCACTCACTACATGTATAGGATTAAAAAGTCACTTTCTTATAATTTGAAAGTGATTTCTGATCCAGTGACTGGGATTGGCCATCTTTGATCAGAAGATGGAACAACTCCATTGACACCTGCAAGTAACCATCATCAAATTTATTTTGAATTTTGCAAAGTTCTTCTTCAAGAAGTTTAATCCTCGATATGGCATTGGCTTATCACGCCGTTAATATTCGTAGAATCAATTTGCACATGTAGTTTATATCGGACCAAAGTCATCTTTTGAAAAAAGAAGCGGTAGATCGAAACATTCGTTAAACATTAGTAAATGCACACACTTCAACTTGTGAATTTTCTTAAATATGGCTTCTAATGGCTAACAAAATTTTTCTATTAGTTTTACACAGA